TGCTGTATTTGGAGCACAGAGCACTGGACACCCCCTACCAAGGCCAACCTGTTGTGACATTATTAACTTTTCTTTCTCAATCTCTCCTTTTTAAAGAATTAGTATTAATTTATAAATTTATTAGTTCCAATATGTTAAGCAATTCTTGACAATCTTTTTTGTGCTGAAACTATTTCTAATTTAGAACCCCGGTCTTCAAGCCACTTTCTGTTCTGTTTGATGATACTATCATAAGGTTTTGGATAATATATACATTTATTAATATGAGACTTTTTTCACTTTATTTACTAGTGGAATATAAAAATTGAACTCTATTCATTAATCTTGCTAAAATAATTATTGAAAAGTTAGTTTCCATATTTTTGAATCTTCTAAATAAGTCATTTTTCTTTTTTTTTTAATAAGTTATCTTTTAATAAGGTCTGTTTTCTTTTCTAGTTTCTTTAAAGATCCTTTATGTAATACTCAGTTTTAATGTATAAAAGCTTGGGTTTCTCTTTTTCAACTGATTTCATTCACACTTTGAATATTTTATTCAGTAACATGAATAAATTTAAAAAGCATCTCATCTATTTTATTTATTTACTACTTTTTCAGTGCTAAGAATTAAGTGCAGGGCCTTAAGCCTGCTAGGCACGTACTCTATCCCTTTTTTACGTCCTCAGCGCTTCTCGTCTGTTCTACACATCATCTCCACACCTTTGACCCACTTTTACTTGGCTTACCTTGATTGACAGGACTAAGTCTAACCATAGTAAAACTTCTACTTCCTTGATAGGTATTTGAGTTATAGTTGACCTGAGAGGATATGACAATTTTAGATGGCATGAACAGAAATTTCATATAATACATCTGATTAGTAAGTATTTTTGATAAAAATGTTGCCTCCACTTTCTTCCCCCCCCCCCCGGAAAACAGTGTAACATGTGTTAAAAGTTACCTCAATTCTAGGAGACAGTGATTAGTTCAAATCAGATTTGAGCAGGTGCTCCATTCTGAAAGTAAAACCAGGCTCGGTGAGGGTTTAAACACCTGGGCCTCTGCACATCTTATTTTGTGAAACATTCCATATCAGCCATATAAAGTTACACTCTAAATACAGCATATATTATATATATATATATATATATATATATATACTTTATATGCTACATTGTTAAATATTAATATGAGAAGAATATTAACAATATTAATTGTTAAATATATCAATACTAACATTTGTCTTAACACAGAATAATGAAGAAATAAGTAGGGTATAATTCAAAGAGATGCAGGGGCTGGCAATAAATGACTAGTTATTTCTATGTTTTTAATAAGCAATGATTATTGAATCTACAGAAGCCTCTCTATTCTATAGCTACCTGGTCGACACCAGCTTTGGATATTACCAGGGAAAATAGGTATACATTTCTAAAAAAAGTTTTTGCATTATCTCCCCTTACATATCTCAATTTCTGATCAGATTTAAGGTGTTTCCACCAATCCTGTGCTGAAGTTAGAAACTGTCCCCCCTCCATAGGAGCTTGCTCATCAGCACGCACCGGTGTGGCGTCTGTAGCCAGGCAGCTCACTTGCTTCCCACTGCACTTCCGTTCAGGGCTCCAGTACTGCCCCCGCCTACAGAGCGTTTAGGTTAGCGGGGCCAATGGGAATCGGGAGTTCTGAGTTTCCGAATGCTAGAATTTCAAATGTAATATACAACTTTTAGAGAAGAGTGAAAGTGAAAGAAAATAAGAACACAAATTCTGTCCTTGAGAATTTGCAGCTAATGAATGACCTTTGCTCGTCCTTCATGCTTTAAAGTTATAGAACCTGGGAAGGGATCTACATTCTAGATGATGTTAAGCAGCAGTGTCATAATATATGACAAAATATTAGCATAGTGCAAAGCTATGTATGTTAAAATTATTAAATATATTAATTTGTCTTAGAGTAAAATTCTGAATCACCTCTCTTTTAAAAATATTTTTTATCCTCTTTTAAAAAAAGGAAAAATGAAGAATTATGTAGAGGAATAATTTTGAAGAGATGAAATGGCAATCAATGACTAATTCCACTTGTTAAATGTTTTAATAAGCGATGATTTCTATCACTCTGTGTTTTATGTTGGTGAAGTAAGGACACTGCCACATTCAGGAGTAAGCTGCTAGGAAATGGAATGCTATCTTATGAGTGAAATGCTTTCGGTTTCACAATTTAACAGATTATGCTGAGTGATAGGCAATGAATAAGTAACTAATGAATTGGTACAGAGGAAGTGAAATATCTAGAGTAGCTTATACACACCCTGAAATGTTTTAACATTGATCACAACTGTACTTCTCCCTCTTCAAAATTAGAATCAATCTGTTTTCATTAAGAATTAAAAATAAGATGAAGGGCCGGCCAGATAGCTCAGCGGATTAAAGAGCCTTCTTAGGCAGAGCGCAGAGGCTGGGGTTTGATCCCAGGCATGCCGTGCTGGCCCTGCTCCCTGGAGTGCACTGAGACAGGGATTGAGACTGGGCGCGGTGGTACACACATGTAATCCAGCACTTGGGAGGCTGCAAACAGGAGGATCACTACGAGTCTGATCTGTGTAGTGAGACTCTGTTCACCCTGTACTACATACATAAAAAAAAAAAGGATGAGATAAAATACTGGTTTTTGCTTGTGGTTTAAGGACAAAAATGTTTAAAATTTTGTGCCTGTGTGTTCTTTGTGTGATGTTCCAGATAAAAACTTGAAAAATTTAATTATGATTAAAAATTCACTATAATATTGGGCATGGTGGCCCAGGTGTGTAATTCCAGCAGCTGGAAGACTGAGGCAGGAGGAGGATCACTGTGAATTTGAGATCAGCCGGGGCGACATTGTGAGTTTAAGCCAATCTGAATTACATAGTGAGACCCTGTCTCAAAAATCAACAAAGCAAACAAAAAATCACTATAATGTCATGGCCATGAACTAAGAAATGAAGTCTCAAAGCCAGTGAGTAACATGATAAAATTTAACTCAATGGTAACTTCATAGAAATCACTTTATCCCCCTGCAATGGAGTTATTATGCCTTTTTAAAATTTTAGCTTGGTGGACACCCACCCATCCATTTTATGGTGAGTATCAACACAGAGGCCTTCACCACGACCTCCAACACAAGCTCCTGCTCATGAACAATGGTGCTGGAGATGTTTCAGATGCAGCCTTCTGGACACAATACTTCTTGTCCCTGGATGCTGCTTGTCAACTGACACACAGCTGGCACTAAGTCTATGGGTTTGCTCAACAATTTCTTAGCTTTATTATTTTTAAAAGCCTCAGAAACTTCTCTAGCCAATATACCCATTCACCTGGTGATTATTTATGCAAACTATCTTCAGTGAGAGCAATTTCTTTATGCTCTGGAGCAGGTCATGTCTTTGATTTTCTTCTGACAGGACATTCTTTCCTACCTTGATCCTTTGTGCAAATTTTAGATGAAGAGCCACTTGTTTCACAGATGTACAACCAAGGTCCTGCAGGCCCAGCCACTGTCATTCTGTGTTGCTACTGTCACATTCTTAGTCCCAAATGCTCTGCTCCATTTGAGTCAGCCACTCTGCCTCTCCAGTGATGTCAGCCTAACTCTCCTCTTCTTTCTTACACGCTGGCCAAGTCACCTTGTTCCCCAAGGATGTGCAGCTGGCCAGGAGGATCTGCGGTATTCAGGCAGGACTTGGCTGAGGGGCACTGGCTCACTTTCGGAAGAACTTATTTTCAGAGGATTTTCCATGCTGGTGACTGGGGGCTGCTTTGCTCTCTCCAGACAGAACAAGGGAGCACAGGTCTGAAGCTGGCCAGGTACCTCAGTAGACTGAAGCAGGAGTGTCTCTTCCTCTGACTGCTAGTCCTAGCATCAAATGCTCCCTTGAATGGGACACCTCAAGGACATCCCCCACCAGCAGCAGGTGCATTTTCATGGGAGCCTCCTATCAGGTATTTGTAGATGGGATTGTCTTAGCCACTGTTCAAGGTGAGGATTATTTTTGTACCAAAATCATACTTTTTTTTCCCCTGAAGAGTCATGGCAAAACATTCCTTTCATGAAGGGTATTTCAGCTAAACTGCTTTTAAATATGGCTGCATTTCCTTTTTTTTTTCTTTTAAAAAAAAACAAACCCAAACCAACCCACTGATCATATCAAAGGTGTTCACTCTCAGGGTTGAGCCTGGAAGGCCTGGGGAAGTATGGCTGCTCTTTTTCTGTGTGATGGTTTTCTTCTAATACTGAGTAAGTGGAGCTGGGAAGACACCGCTGTGACCCCAGGGCTTCCTGCTGCAATACAGATGGCCAGCAGGGTCTCCTTGGGACCTTTCTTTCTTTCACATTTTTTGTCTTTTTGAGACAGGGTTTCACTATGCAGTTCAGGCCAGCCTTGAATTCATTTTATAGCCTAGGCTGGACCTGAACTTGCAGGGATCCTCCTGCCTCTGCCTGGGATTACAGGCACGCACCATCATACCTGGCTGCTTGGGACCTTCCTAAGAGGGCTCAGCATGGGCTCTGTTCAAAGAATGTGGCTTACTAAACAGTGCTCTGTGCTCCCAGCCCACGTTTCCATGGCCCACCCTCCCCTGGTGTAGCACTTAATGCTGCAGCTGAACACCAGGAAGGGCACAGGCACTTTGTGTACCAGGAGAGAAGGGCAGGTGGCCTCTCTTGGAGGTGGAGGCCCAGAAGGACAAAGGATCCATGCAGAGTGACCTGGAGGACACTTATAATCACTCAGTGGTCCCGGTGACCTCATTCTCAGCAGGAAATTCTGTAAATGTGTTAGTAACATCTAAAAAAGCAGCGAGAGAGCAGCAGAAGAACCGGGATGGGCCGGCCACCCCTGCAGGCCCCGTAGTGTCACAGCAGTGGGGTCATGCTCAGAACATGGTCACCGGCTCAGGAGACAATGTATACTTGGGGCGCAGAGACTACACACCCCACAACTCCAAGCACACCTCCTCTTGCCCTGTGTGTGTCGTGTCATTCACAGTGAAGGACAAAGGTTAGGATAAAATCTCCAAGTGCCTGGTTTGCTGGGTCCTCGGCTGAGCCTCATGCTAAGGAAGAGCTCCTTGGATGCGAGCCCTGTTCTTCCAGACTCCTGTGGATCCAGTCCTGGGAGACCAAAGCCACACACGAGCAGTAATGACTCATTCTCTGTGTATTTTGCTTGCATTTTTGTTTTTCTGATACCCATTTTATTTCAAAGGGCAGATAAATATTTTGCTAGATCCAACCCCAAAAATCAAATGATCAGAGAACCATTGTAATTTATCTTAATAAATAACAAAATGCCACTTACATGTCTTAAACCTTACATAACACAAAATACATTTTAAATAAATAACCCCCGTGGTGTGTACTTAGAAACAGCCTGGTGTTGGTGCATGTCTCAGAGGCAGCCTCTAGTCCACGTCTGGCCTCCCTGGACCCGACCCATAGCGCACAGCATGGCAGGCCCTGGACAGCAGGAGCTCTGACTGCGCCCTGGTGCCTCCATGGCGCTGCTAGCTCATTGCTTCAGTCATTCGCGCTGGACACCTTCAGCTTCCAGGTCAGCACTGGGCACAGACGAATGGGAGAAACCCCCGAGTGACTCCTGATGCATGGAACTGTCTTGGTTTCTGAGCAGTGCCCACAATTCCCAGAGCCACGTGGAGCTGGGGTGTCCCTGTGCCCACATCTGTCCCCTCCCTCAGCACCTGTGGGCTCAGGAAAGGACGCGATGGCTGGAGCTCCCAGGCTGTGGCTTTAGCATTCAACACTGGCACACCTGACAGAGGCTATGCCCAAGGGCACTGGTCACCTCCAACACTGGCATATGCTAGATCAGGGTAGCCAGGGGCTGCATGGCTGTGAAGCTGGGGCTGGACGGCTGTGTCGTCTTGGGCTCGAGATGCAACTGCAGTGTCCCTGTGATGCCCACCGCTGTCCTGGATGCCTGTCAGCTTACTCAGACCTAGAGTTTCTAGCTCAGTTCTGTGTCATTCTAGGCAGGACAGGATCCTTGTTTAGCGTTGTGCAAAGGACAGTTTGTGAAGGACAGGACAAGCTCCTCCACAGGACTCACGGTCAGTGTTCCTTTAGCCTGAAAGAAAAGGATGGCATAACAACAGGTCCCCTGGCTGGTGCTGCAGGTGCAGGAATACAGACCCCACGCAGCCCAGCTCTCTGACCCCTACCCTATCCTAGGGCCCGCTGCAGGAGCAGGAACCAGAGGATGGAGGGAGGTAGTGACAGCAGCCAGAACGGGAGTTCTGGCTGGAACTCCTGGCTCGCAGTGACCACACAGGGCAATTTCCCTGCTGTCTCTTTGCTGCAGCTTGGAGGGTTGACATAGTTGCCCACATAGAGGCCTGTATCAGGGAGGACACAAAAGTACATGCATGGGACAAGCTATACTAAGGACAGGTGAGTTTGTTCTTGTTAGAGAGGTGTGGAGGCAGATGAGTGGCCCTGGAATGGCCTTAGTCCCTAATAGAGGGCCTGTGTGGACTTACGGAGCTTGGTTTCCCGTTGCTGGTCCAGGGCAGCTCAGCTCCTTGTGGATGAGGCGGACCAGGAACTGTAAGGATAAAGATAGGGCATTTGTGAACCCAGGGACCTAAGCAGACGGCAGGTGGGGCCTGGGGTCACCCAGAAGCCTACAGCTATTGAGACCCAGCTAGGCCTGCCGGGCCATGAATCTGCCCATTCCTTGCACCGTGGGCCATGCCATGGTGCCCAGCCTGCAGGCCGGGGCCCAGCTGTCTCTCACAAGGTCCCTGGAGTAACCAGGACACACAACTGAAAGCAAGACTTTTACAGTAAACTTTAGCTGGCATTACTTCTGGGTCTGGAACAGTTAAAACTTGTCCAACCACAAATGTCCAACAGGAAAAAAAAAAAAAGATAATGGAGACAGGGTGGTCCACAGTCATGGTGATAGTGGGAGCGCCGGTGAATAGCCACCTCCAGACTGTGTTCTGCACAGTGCTAGCAGCTGAACCTGGAGCAACCCCAGCCTTGCCCTGCCCCTCTACCACCTCACAAGCTTTCTATGCCACCAAGTATACCTCACTTCCTCTGTGTTGCTAAACGTCACATTAACCCTCTGGGAGGGCTGCCCTGGCCTGTGTAGTGCAGGGCACTTTGGGGCAGTGGGGTGCCAGTGTGGAGTGCTGGGGTCTATTAACCTCTACCACCCCCGCCACATTCAGCCAGGGATATACAGGGAAGAAATGTCATCTCCTCAGGGCCTAGGGTTCTGGCAGCGTCTGTACATTCAAGCTACCAATAATGGGAAGGTTTCCTGTGGATTACACTCTTGGCTGGCCCAGAGACAGGTTCACAAGATCGGGGGAGGGGGTTGCGGCAGGGAGATATGGTACTCAGAGCTGGTGGCCAGTCAGACCTTGCTGGACAAAACTCCAACTCTAGCCATTCCTGCAGACTGGCCACTGTGGGCCTAGCCAGTCGTATAGGTCCAGAGCTGTCCTCTCCACCTGGGTGATGGACTACAGTGGTTGGGTCCCCTCGATCTCCCAGAACCTTGAGGCATTGCCTTGGGTGGCTGAGGCCCCAGCCTCTGCCTGATGGGGTGGAAGGTGACACAAATGCTGGTCTCCAAGAGCAAGCGCATTTTAGGCTTGAAAAGACCAATGCCAGTGCATCCTCAGCAGACCCCTGGACCTCCTGGTAGCAGGTACTTCCTCCACAAAGGACATATGCCCCTGGATGCACTTTGTCCAAAGACTTCACCCATGTAGGCTGCTGCTCCCTCTGGCACCATGCAACTGACTTGGACCTCCCCACTCTTTTATACTGTCCTTTCCAAGTTTACACACATCTAAGTTCTCAGTAACTGGGGAAGAGGCTGGTTCAATCCCTCTACATCTCTGGGGGACAGCCCCTTCCTCTCCCTCCTTGTTCCTAACTATGAGGCAAGCAGTTTTGCTGTGCTGCACGCTCCCACCATACTGTGCACCCTGCCAGAGGCCCAAGGTGACAGGACTGACCCATCACAGGCAGAAACTTCCAAAACCATGAGCCCAAATCAGCCTTCCTCTTCAGAAGTTAATGATCGCAGTCCTCTGTCATACATGAGGAAAGCCAGACACACAGCTTCATGTGGGCAGCAGGCCCTGCCTGCCCTGCCCGGCTCTGGACGTGACCTGCATTGCTCCTTCTGACAGGCCTGTCCCTGCCAGGCTTGCTGTGACAGGCAGAACTTGTGTACAAGATGGTCTGGGGACCTTTTGGGTCACACTAGCCCAGAGGAGGCAAAAAAAGAGCTTGCACTGTGGCTTTCCTACACCCTGCTGAGATTAAAAGGTGCTGGGCCCACCTACTTGTTTCCTGACACATACAGATTTCTTCACAAGCAAAAGAAGGAACCCGAGGCCACGACCTGGACCAAACCTCCTGGGGAGAAGTTTGCAGCATGTGGCCAGCAGCCACAAGACGCTCCGTGGAGCCACTTGGGCTGACAGTGGGTCAACTCACCAGTAAGGCACACGCATCTGCAAACATCAACATATAAAACACGTTGCTCCATCCAGACGGGGAGATGAGCCCAGCCAGCAGGGGGCCCAGGGCTGCTCCTGAAACAGGACAGAGAATGTGCCGGCGGTTTGAGGAGGGCTCGCCACTGACCATTTAAACCCTTGAGGTGGACAAGCAACGCAGAACAAGCTCAACATCCTGCTTGTGTGGAAAGAAAGGTAAACCTTCATGTGCCACCTGCAGATGGGCAGGGTGAAAGGCTAATCATGCTCAGTGACGGCAAGGGACATGGCACAAACCACCCCTGGAACCAAGCCTAAATCTACCCACTGAACTCTGAAATGTTCATATTTAGATCCAATATCTGATGTTTATTGTCACTGTTATTGAATTTATGTAAAGAAACCCGAGTCCAATGCATGACCCTGGGAGCTACTCTTGCACTATGAAATTCTTACTTGGTAAACATGAACAAGCACTGAGTGCTAACGCTTTCTCCATGTCAGCTTTCCAATGCTGACTGTGCACTGTAGCTGCTGCATGAGAGAATCTATCTTCAGCAAGAACACCCTGAGTAACTTGAGTAGAAGGCCTGTCAGTAGCTCAGAGAAAGTACCCATGTGTGTACTTAGGAGTATGTGCAGAGTGTGTAAATATGAGGCGCAGCATAAAGCAAATGTACTACAATGCCTGTGGTGTTTCTGTACTATTTTTGTACATTTTCTGCAAGCCTATAATTATGCTAAAATATTCTTTTGAAACTATAAAAATGAAAAAAAGCACTATCCTCCAAAATGTCCAAAGATATGTATCTTCAGGCATTCACTGCAGCTGTTTGGAAAGCTTTCCTGATAGGGACTGGGACGATCCCAGCACAAGTGCAGGGTGGTGTGCTTGGGAGGATGCACGGCAAGACACATGGGCGATTTTACAGCTGCGGTTACTGGCGGAGATTCCACACCCAAGAGCAGCCGGCAGTGCCTCCAACTGTAAGATGCTGACTTTGTTCGAGAGCTTCACTATAGTCACTATTTCACAGCCTGAAGAGCAATGGAAGTTTGCTCCTCAAAGACAAGAATACCTTCAGGTGGACAGGGTCACCAACTTTGTGCTTGTCAAACACCATGAAGAAGACCATCATCAACTCTCAGGTCACAAATTCACAAAGAGAAAGGCAGAGGAGAGAAGGCATGGAGCTTTGGAAGAGGACAGTGGGCACTGCTCCTGTGTTTCTGGGACATGCAGTGGGGACTCCATGCCCAGTGAGCCACACTGTGGAGACCAGAGTCAACATGCTTTCCACAGAAAAGACCCCACAGAAGCATCAGGGGACAATTGAGGCCCACCCGCATCTGAGGAAGACCCCATGCAAAAGACAGCCAGGAAGCTGGGAAAAGGCGGGGAGAAAATCCCCAGGAAACTAGTATCTCAGCTAGCAGAAGATGAAGTTGAGCCTTAAAGTATTTCTATTTCTGTGGATGAAATTGGGTTCTTTCATTACTGGCAATTTCACAAAATATATGCCGCAAACACTGCAGCTAAGGAAGACCAAAAGGGCAGAAAAATGAAGTGTTCAGTACAGCATGGGGAAAAAGTGAAGCCAAGAATAAGAAAAGAACAAGAAGACAGGTAGAAAGGAAAAGAAATGACGCTGGAAAGTTAATCCTGGAAGTCCAATAGTCCAGTGTTTTCCAGAAAGAAGAAACAAACCAAACTAAAAACAGGAAGGAAAACCAGAATGTCTAGCTGAAGCTGATTTTCTCTTTGGAAAGTAGGTGGCACTGGCACAGACATCGCCAGAGGTAAGTCAGGGAGTGTGTGACAGCCAAACCTCGTCTCCTTCCACGGAGCTTGGGGTCTTGGGGAGCAAAGGAAAGCAGCTGGGCAAGCTCCGCAGGGAAGCATTTGTTCCCTGGTGGGCGAGAGGCCCTGGGTTCTCCCCAGCAACAGCAACAAAAGAAAAAGCAAAGAAGAAAGAGCTCAACACCGGTGCACCGGAAGAACAAGCAGCTGCGGAAGCGGGGCTGAGCAGCGGGCAGCACTGTTACCTGGCTTCTACTGTGAGATTGTGTTTTACTTTGATAAAATAAAAATCAAGTTGGAAAAATGCAGGGCAAAGCTTCAGGCTCCACATGCAGAAGAGCAACATCAAGCCTACGCACGAAGCGGTGGGCCTCTCTGCTGGAGTCTTTGTCTGCTTTTGTCTTGTTGGGCAGCTCCGAGGGGGGAGGAAGTGACTGAGAAGAAGCCTGCATGCTGTTTCCATGGCAACCGTTTACTGCCAAGTGGCAGGAGTGCATGTGGTGCTGACTCTGACCTGGTCTGGCTGCCACAGAGCCAGGGTCAGAGATGCCCAACTGCCCTGCGCCCCTCCCACTGGCCACTTCTCTCTCCTACAGCCTGGAGCACTGTGGCAGGGCCTTCTCTGTGCAGACCCGGTCTCTCTCGGCTGCTACCTCTACTGCACCCTCATTTTAAGAACACTATCAAACAAGTGTATTTTTTACCTGCCTCCTTTTTAAAAATCTCAGATCTCTGCTTTACCATAGAATGTTACCAGCAGACCTTCAAATTAGTGTGAACAAAGAGCATCCCTGTGGGTGTTAGACTAACTCACAAAGAACTGGGGTGGGGAATGGTTGTCCAGAGTGACACTGATTAGCGCTCAGCATGCCCAGGCTCTTCTAGAACTGGAAAAGGGTGGGCTATTCGCTCCTAGGACTGCCACCAGGCCTGGCATCAGCCCCTCCCTTCTCTCTTCCCAGGCCTGTCCCGAGAGCCAGGGGTGTCCCTGTGAGAGAATATCAGAGGAGTAACCACATCACCCAATAGACCAAAGCCACTAGGAGGCTGCTCAGCTGCTGGTGGAGATCAGCGCCAGGGTCCTTCTGAACATTGATGACCTTGTCCCATCTTAGGACAAGCTGGATCTGTCACCTAAAGCTGAGAATGGCAGCAAGAGTGTGGAGCAGGGTGCCTGTGCCTCAGGCACGTGAGGACCTGGTTCTGCCCATGAATGTGATGCCCAGGGGCCTGCCATGTCCTGTCTACAACCTAGCCCCTTTCAATGAGTCCTTTGTTAGCTCACAGGGGACATGGCCCAAAGAGAGTGACTCCTGAACTTCTGGGATGGCCACCAAGTGGCGGAGGTGAGTGACCTGAGGGAAGAAGACTGCTCTGTTCCACAGGGGCTGCACGGACAGTGGGGAAGGACAGGGTGGTGGGAGGAGGTGGAAACTTCCAGATGCCACAGCGCCCTTGGTGTGTGGGGAGGCTTCATGGAAGGATGGCGGGAGCCAAGATTTGGGGCACAGGGGACGTGCTGGCTGGGCGATTGCTTTTTCCTTTGTTTTGTTTTTTTAAAAATTTTATTTGTGTGTGTGTGTGTGTGTGTGTGTGTGTGTGTGTGTGTGTGGCCAGCTCAGTCCACCAGGGGGCAGGGCTGGCTGGCATGTGGTGCTGGGGGATTGAACCACGGTCCCTGTGCTTTGCTAAGCTTGTTCTAAGTAGGTGCTTTAGACCACTGAGCCATCTCACCAGCCCTTTCCTTTGTTTTTGTGGAACAGGATGGAACCGAGCATTTTGCAAATGCTAGGCAGGTTCTCTACCACTCAGCTTCCCCGGCCCTTTTCATTCTTTTGAGACAGGTTTTGCTAAGTTGCCCAGGTTGGATTTGGACTCATGATCTCCTGCCTCAGCCTACTGGGTAGCTACAACAGCTGGTGCCACCCACCCAGCTGTCAGATGCTTCTGAGGAGCAAGGAGGAGTGACTGTGGTGGTGGGAAGGATGCCAAACTCCATATCCTTGGACAAAACCTTTGGGTGTCCCCCCACACCCAGGAGGGGTCACAGAGGCCACAGGACAGCCAAGGGCAAAGCCTCTGCCATGGGCAGCAGGAAGGCTAGCAGGGTAGGCTCTGTTGAGCTGCCCCTGATGTGGTCCCACCATCCTGACCATGACCATGTAGTCACGTGGGCTTCCTGGTTGGCTCGGGCATCCCTAGCAGCCTGAGCTCCACTTTTCAGGGACAGGAGTCTGGTGTCACAGTCCCTCCTTGAAGGAGCATGGCTATGACTGCTTGGCACAAGAAAAGCCCAAGGTGAAGCTCCTGGGATGGCCACGTGCCTGCTTGTCCCCTTAGGGGTGCTTGCTTGCATATGTACTGTCTCTTTTAAAGCCCAGCAAGGCATAGTACCAGCATGATGCTCCTTCAAGACAGTCTGGTAGGACATTACTGAGAATGTAACATTGTGTGAGCAGTGGGGATCCGCCTGCTTCCTTTTCCTGCTTTACCCTACCAGTTTTCTAACAAGGACAGCTGGACCAGGCCCTTGTTAGAATTCAACAGCTCCTCTCTGCACCATGTACAGAGCTTTGGGGTGATGACTGAGCGTACCTATGGAGCCAGTCCCGTCGATTATGGCTGTCACTGTGGAGAGGGCGTGGGAGTTTCCTTTCAGGCTTTTATGCGTGCCCTATGAGAGAGCAGAGTGGATGTTAAAGATCTCAGCAGCAATAGAAATGAGAAGGGAACCCAGGCCCTCCACAACAGCATGTTCAACTGACTTGCAAAACAATCCCATAGGTGAGAACGATTCCCATGAGGAAACTTAACTCTGCCCCACCCTGAGTGTCCCTCCCGGTCACATACGATGGGGCAGGTGCCGGGCCACTCACCAGGTCAGCAGAGACGGCAGTGGTGATGAGTGCGTAGGGCCCGCTGACCAGTGCCCCGCTGAGCAGCAGCATGGCTGAGGGAGAGCAGACAGTGTCCTGGGAGAGCCTGCAGTGGCCCCGGGAAGCAGGAGGGCAAGGAGAGGCCATGTGGCCACCAGGGGGCCACGGGGAGACACAGATAACTTCCCTGGACTCTGACACATTTTCTAGGCTAGGGCTCATTGCCTGGAACTGGGATCCTGGCCCAGGTGGGAAGTGCCAGCCGGGAGGCTGAGGGGGGACACAGCCACATGCTCTGCCCTCATGGCCTGCAGGGGAGCTCCCCCCCCCGCCCGCCCGGTTGTGCTCCTGAAAAAGACTCTGGCCTGGCAGGGACTGCACACCCTTCCCACAGGCCTGTTTTCCAGGAGCTCAGTGGACTGTCACCCTCATGTCCTTCCACCCTGCCCACTTGCAGGGAGTAGGGGACACCTAAGGGCCAGAAGCACACCCTGAAGTGCTGCCTGCAGCAAGTGACACAGTCCTCTACAGCCACACATGGGCTCCAGAGTGCGCCACGAGGCCAGCTGGGAGAAGGAGGCCAGGCCTACCTGCCTGTTCCCTGGCTGATGATGGCAGTCACTCTACAAGGTTCTGGTCATGGCCAGGTGCAGGTCCCTGGCTGCTGAAACCCCGCAGGAGACATGCCTTTCACCTACCCCAGCTTCTGAGGGGCTCCTGCCCTTGGGTGCCTAGAGCCCTCCCAGTCTGACCAGGGGTCCACTCCCAACTCAGAGGGCCAGACTGGGCCCAGGAGTGAGTCAGTGCCAGCCTGTCCTGTAGAGGGAGGGCTTGGGCTGCTCAGCCATACCATTTAGCTGTCACACAGCTGAATTTGATACTAAGTTGCATAGACAAATGTGTGTAAAAGAAGGAAAGTAGCAGGGCTGCAGGCACTCACCGACTGTGGCTTCCAGGCCCATGCTGCTGACTGCAGAGAATACATACAGCTGTGGACAAAGAAGAAGGGCATATGGCTGGCGGAGGGCCATGCCCAGCCACCTACAGAACATGCAGGGTGCCAGGGTCCCTGGATGACTGAGGACTGCACCTTGTTGAGCAACAGCCACAGCTCAGTGGAGCAGCAAGTGTGGGAATAAGGGGCCACCAGTGTTGTAACAAACAGCAGTGACAGTCCTCGAAACCACACTGCAGTGGTGCAACTGTGAGTCCTGCTACGCAGAAGAGGAAACTGAGGCACACTGAGGGGAATCACTTGGCCACTATCATGAACTGTTAAATGCCTATGAGTAGCATGAGCCTTGCAGATGTGTGAGGTGGGAGTCCTAAAGGACATGCAGGGCAGCTCGAGGGAGGAGCATGCATGGGGGAGTCCCCAGGGATGGAGGAGCAGCCCCTGCCACACATAGTGGAGGGGACAGCACTGCCAGCAGGAGGCTGACCGTGGGTGCAGCGAGCAGCAGCATCAGGCCACAGGTGGAAGCCTGCTTCTCCAGCCGGTCAGAGATGACACCTGCCAGGATCCCACCTGCAACAGACAGGGCAGCTATAGGTGGGCACCACCTCATCCCTAGCCCAGGAAGATGGGTGAGGAAAGTGGTGGTGGTCATTTTGTGGGCGGCTCACCCCCATGTGGGGGCCTCTGGGTAAGCCACAGGGTGATCTTGGGGTCAGGCCTGAAGCTCTTTACCTGCCAGGGTCCAAGTGCTGCCACTGCGTGACCCACCCAGGGAGGGGAGCTGCTAGTTCAAGGTCAGAGGCCAGGCTGGCAGAGGGCACCCCCATGCTGAGGGACAGCTGAGGCCAGCCAGGCCCTACCGTGTGCAGCCCCATGAAGGCCTGCAGCTTGGGGCGGGAGGTGTGGAACTCACCGAATAGCCCCCCCACGTCGAACAGCGTGGACAGCTCTCCTGCCCTCTGCGCATCGAGGTGATCTGTGAAAGGATCGCAGGTGACCGAGTGAGGGTGCGCCCTTCAGTGGGCAGTGTGGCAGGACTCACACCAACGAGCAGCTGTGAGTTTGTTCCACTCCAGAGGGAAGGGAGGCACAGAGGGCTGACTGCCCTCCTGACTCCAGCTCCGGCAGTGGAGGAGGGCTTTGAAAAGTGACAGCTGGGAGCTGTGCCGTGTCGCCTGGTGAAATTCTGCTCTGTCTCAGGCCCCCCTAGCTCTCCAGCTCTGGCCCTGTTGCCTGCCCGAGCTAGACCTGCTTCTGCTCACTCTCTGGACTCTGTGCCAAGGGCCGGGCTGAGGTAACCTTCTCCACCGTCAGCATGGCTCCTACTGCTCCAGCGGTGACCTTGTCCTGGGTGCTGCTACCTTTACCCACGCTCTGCCCCCCCCCCCCCGGACACACTGTCTATCCCACAGCTTTGTTCTGTTGTAGTCCAGAGCTGCATCGCTGCTGGCCTCATGGTTAGCCCCCCTTCCAGTCAGAATGTATCCCCTGGAGTGCTTTCCATGGCAGGTTATGAGGGGGTCTCAGCCTCCCTGCCCAGGGCAGCGGTAACCCAGAATGACACGCAGGGGTTGGGAGCTGCAGCCTGGACAGGGCCAGCACTGAGCCCCTGAGGGCTCAGACCCCGGGTCCAGCTGCTCTCCTGTCTAGGTCTGGTCCTCATGTCCCCATACTCCAGGAGCCAGTGGATGTGAGGGACTGAGGTCACCAGGTCACACAAGACCCACTGCGTGCTGGTAACACACTCACCCACACTGGTGATGTAGAGTGGAAGCCAGAAGAGGAAGGTGTAGCTGACGAGCTTGGCAAAGAGCAGGCATAGAGAGAACTCGATCACGCCCTGCAGAGAAAATGAGCTGTAGGCCCCAGGGAGACTTGGCAGGGGTGCAGTGAACAGCAAGGATTCTACTCCCACCAGAAGGCTGTGTCCACAGGTGCCTTCCCAGAGGACCTGGTGGGGTGTGGCCTCACTGAAGAGCCACCCAGACTCCCCCACCCAGCCAGCCTCCTGTTAAGATAGAAATCTGAAGTCCCCAAAGCCGAACTAGTCAAGACAGGTGCGCCGCCCAGTTCCCAGGCCACACTACACCCTGGTACAGAGTGCACCCTACTGAGCCCAAAGTACTTGGGGTGGCTACACCATCAGGGAGGGCAGTTATTAAGCACACAGTTTCTAAAATAACTTTTATTTCAACTCTGCTTCTTGATGCATGCCTGTTAACCCTAGCCCTTGGGAGGCCAAAGCAGCAAGCCAGCCCAAGCCACACAGTGAGAACCTCTCTCAAAAACAAAAGATAAACAAGAAACCAAAAATAAATGACAGTCAGCATCGTGCACAGGCTGGTCCTCAGAGGCTTGAGCAGGGCCCCAGGGGCCAGGCCTGGCCCTGACAGTCACCGCAGGAGACAGCCTGACTCAACCTTACTGCTGCAGACCCAGTCTTCCTGCTCAGCCTGAAGTGGCAGTCCTTGCCCTTTAATTTCACAAAGTATTCTGAGGTTCAGGGTATACTGTTCTCATTTCTGCCTCATGGATAGTGCACGCTGCACATGAGACCAACACTCATCCCTCTGGTGCCCTGACTCTGTCACCCTGGGCCCAGCCTGGCAGTGTCCACTGGCCTCAAGGCTGGGCCCACTGTCACTGGCCACAGAATTTTCTAAGGCCAAAACAAATCCAGAGACCTAGAGCCCTGCGCCTCTCCAGTACTGCTCATTGCGTCTCCCACTCAAATGCAGGACAGTGGACCACAGCCTGTGCTATTGATGGCATGACACTGGGTGGAAACAGGGCTGGGGAGCGGCCGTGGACACTGGGAGGGAGGGGCCTGAGGCACGCTGGCCCAGAGCAGCCAGATGTTTAGATTTTCAAGGAAAGCCCTTCTTGTCTATGAGCTTTTTGAATTTCTAAATGGAGAAAATGAATCTTAAGAAAACTGTTAGTACATTAAGTAGAGGAAGTCTCTTAGCTACTTGCATCCCTGGAGCTCAAGGCTGCACTGCCCAGCTCATGCCCCACGTCTGCCCCACGAACTCTGATGCTATGTCACACCTGGCTGCCTGGAGACCACGCCTCTCACTTGCACACTCTCTCCAGGCACACAACTCACCGGGATCCTCAGGGCCCCTGTGAAGCTGATGGCCATGCTGCTGCTGTCCCCCGGCAGGACGACGATGTGGCTCTGGTGGATGGGGGTCTTCCCATCGGGCAGCAGCAAGCACTGCATCTCTGGGTCCTGGACACAAGTTCCATTAAAAAGAAGAAAAAGCAGGTGTCACCAGTGAGTAGATGGTGACACAACTGCAGCCAGAATTAGGCAGCAGGATCACCTGGCGATTCTTGCTTTGCACTCAAAGTCTTGAGGCTGTGTTGGGTGACACTCACCATAGTTGGCCACTGTTTTGCAATCATTACCATCCATAGGCTTTTATGAAACAGTATTAACATACAACATCCTCTAATCTAGAAATTCTAGACACGTTTGTAAGAAGTAATATGAAAAGTTAAAAAAATACTTGTACTCTAAGGTAGATGTCACATCATAGTAGAGAGAAATTTAGCCAATTAATTAAATTTAGCCATGTAAATGAGCACCTGTAGTTTTTAATCTAGATGAACCCTGGAGGCTGATCTACTTATGGACGGGGCTTTGGCAGGGTGATTAGACTGTGGGGGTCACAGCTGACTTGCTGTAGGGAGGCGGGGTCTGACCAGAAAAGGTGGGACTGGGGACATGGCCCAGAAGAGTTCACCTCCCTCCCTGGCTCCTCCCTTCTCTGCTTCCTGTCTGGCATGATGTGAGCAGCTGGCCATCCAATCTTGGAGCTACCTGACTGTGGATTAAAAATGTGAGTTATGTGGTGGCGCACACCTGCAATCCTATTGCTTGGAAGGCTGAAAACAGGAGGATCCCTGTGAGTCCAATCTGTGTAGTTAGACCTTATAGACCCTGTACTAAATACATTTAAAAAAATATGAGTTAAACTCCTCCTTTAAGTTTTGGGTGTCATGTATTATGTTTGAGCATCAAGAAAAGTAACTAAGACAATGATATATTTTGCAATTGTTAAAAAATATTTGCAAGATTTTAGTAAAATAGGGAAATGCTTGGAGTATTAAATAACATTATTCAAATTTGGATTTTCATTTTGACCTCAAAGAATGTTTAAATAGCCATCTATATAACCATATAACTATAGGATCTTTTTCTAGAAAGAAGGTAAAATCTGTACTAGTAGCTGTTACTCAGTGGTGGAAGTATGTATAATGTTTGAGGAAGATCAATAGGGAATTCTTTATAGGAACTTACACTTTTTAACGAGTTTGTTATGGACATAGTTTACCAGAAACATTATTTTAAAATTTTAGATCAATCCTGACACTTTATGACAGCTGACATTCTGGACATTCCTAAGGGACCCAGTTTGCACTCCTTAAGTGGAGAGCAATCTTAGCCATGGGTGGCTTTTCCAAGTCAGAGCAAGAATGATCCAAAATGCCCTTCAAAAAAAAAAAAATGTCCTTCAAAGGGCAAACCCATGAATTTCAGACTTTCCACAAAATCTGACAGGTTTTATATTTCTCTTACTACAACCCTTGTAAAATGGATTAAGAGTAAAATTTAAAAAAAATTTAAAAGGAAAAAGAAATAGTAATGGCTCTGTGTTCTACATCCTACCCTTGACATCCAGAATTCTCATCTGATGGAAAACAGACACTGAGGAAATGCCACTGTAGCAGTGCTACTCATAGTGGGCACTAGCACTGGTGTGTGATGCTGCAGGGCTTGGCTCCCTCACCAGGACAGACTGGCCTCAGAGCTGGTCTGTGACTGCACCTTCACAGTAGACTGCGCTACTGGGGATGAAATGACAGACCCCAGGCGTGACAGCCGAACATCCTCCCAAAACCCCATCCTAAAAGGCTGAGGAAGACAGAGCTAGAGCTGGAGCTCTAGAAGGCAATTTTACTAAATTAAGTTTCCTGGTGACCACACACAAGGAGCTCCGGACACCTAGGCTGGCTGTACCAGCTGCAGCAGCCCCCAGGACATCCTGGCCCAGGTAGAGGTGCAGGATATCATGGACCTCTTCGTGAAGTCATTAATCAGCACATGAGAGAGAGAGAGAAAACAAAGCACAGATGTGCCTGGAGGCTTTGGGGCCACCTGCAGCCCTTCCTGAATCTGTGAAGTGCCTCTGGGTACTGCCTACAGGACTGGCTTTGGGCTGTGACCACAGCTTGGCTCCTGCAGCAGCTGCCCATCTTGTCCAGGCACCCAATCTAGGTTTGTAGTTTTCAGGACACAGGGAAAGCCATGGTGGGTCCCCACGACACATGTGGGGCACTGCGGCCTCCCCTTCCAGATGAAAAGCAGCACCTGGCCAGATGAGACACGGGGTTGGGCACAGGCCATGGCTGCAGGCTTCCCGACAGTCCGCACTTAAGAGCCTCTCGGGCCTGCGTGTTGGATCAGGGCCTTCTTGGGCTGGGGACTCTGCTCCAGGAAGCTGCAGACAAGGCCCTGTCTCACCCTGTCCCTTGGGTGGCCTGGTGTGAGATCTGCCTGCTCCTAGATATGGAGCTGGCTTGTTGGGGGCGTGGGAGGAAACAGGCTTTCATGGGTGCGGCAAAGTGGTATGGGGCTGGCTTCACAGTCAGCAGCACCTTGGCACCCAGGACCTTCACTGTCCTCCTCTGGATGTGGTCTCTAAGTGCCAACCTGGAAGTGAGCAGAGGCTCTGGGGCATTTCTTGAGTTCATCACTGCTTATAATTTCACTAAGATTTAGGAACCAGAGGCATCGTCAGCTGCCACAAATAAATCCTTAGGCAGTAAAGGGAAAAATGCAAGAAGTTCATCTGGTACATTTGACCTTAAAGAGTTTGATGAGAGATAAAGCTGTTAGTAATCCCAACCATTAAAACTAAACTGAGAGGCCGGGGAGATAGCTCAGTGGAATAAGTGCTTGCCTGGCAAGTGCACGGTCCTGAGTTCAACCCCTGGTACCACAAAAAACAAGAACAGCAAAACAACAACAACAAAAACCCTAAACCTAAGATCCCCTGAGGCTCAGTGCAGTGAACTAGGTGGAAGGGATGCAAGGAGCTTAGAGAAGCAGTTGAGAGTGACATGGGGGCAGGCCACGTGTAGCAGAGGCATGGCATCCCTGCCTCAGTTTCCTCAACTGTAAAATGGTTGGTCCTTTAGATTCCCTCTTCCTGTCATGGTTTCCTGTTCCTGTGATGCAACTCCACCCTGTGAGCTCCACACAACAACGCACTCCCTGCCTGACACTTTCTTTGTAGGCCAGTCCCCTCTGTCTCTGCACAGCCCTGCCTCAATGCCACTGCTAAAGGCAGTCTCCCTGGCACCAGTGCCCTGTGGGGGACTTCTCTGCTCACTGTGTCTCCTCTCCCACCCCCACCCACAGGCATGATGCAGGGGCCATCAAGCAGGGAGCAAGCTGTGCAGTGCGTGAACTGCTTTGGGGTTGGATTAAAGATGTGAAGTCTGATGAGGACGGAGGTTATGAACCTTTTCTACAGGATCCTACAGCTCTGGTGAGCCACCCAACCTCCTGAGTAGGAAGACTGCTGGACCCTCCATAGGACAAGAATGAACAAATATGTAGTATGCCAAGTCACTAAAGAAGGAAAAGTTCCCATACTCAAGCAAGACCGTGAGCATGCTGGTGGCTGACACTGAGGAGCTGAGCGGCTCTGTACTTATTTCCAAAAGTAATGCCTGAGGAGAAGTAACTGACTGAGACAGACGGCAAGAGGCTAATATTCATTAATACAGGTCTTGTTTTAACTTAGTCTTAACTACACAGCAGAAAAGTATAACCAAAGGATGTATGAAAATAATATATAGTAATAAAAGCTTGATATAAAAAGGGACTCCAATGGCTCACCCCTTCTGGCAGTTTCCAGTTATACCATTATCTGACCAATATTACAGTTCCTTAAGGAAGAAATATGGTAAAATCTACTAAAATTCAACAAGAGGGCTAGGGAGGTAGTTTGGTGGTCTAAGCACTTGCCTGGCAAGTGTAAGGACCTGGGTTTGATCCCCGGTACTGTGTGCTGTGCCAACCCTGGAACACTAGGTGTGCTGTGTCAGCCCCCGAAACAAGGCATGGTGGCACATGCCTGTAATCCCAGTGCTGGGGAGGCTGAATCAGGGAGATCATTGTGAGTCTGAGCTGTGTAGCAAGACCCTGTACCAAATAAGTTAATTAATTAATTAAAAAGTTCAACAAGAGTCTTTAAATTCCTTAGCTGAAATTGTTCTTTAAAATCACCAAACTCTCCATCTTCTTACAGGTAAAACTAGAGGGACTCATGACAAGAAGTTATCAGACTTAGAGATAACCTCCACCAATAGGGTGATCTAAGAGCCACCTGGTTACAATGACTATTCCAGTCCCTGAAGAGCAGTTTCTGCCAGCAGCTTAGTGCTCATCCTGATTGTACGTGCTTTAATTTCTTGGAAAGTTTTCTGCCTAGAGGTTGCTGAACTCCAAATAATCATATAGAATGAACCAACAACAAATGACTTACTGGGATCTACTAGATTGAACCTATAAAGGGAGTTTATAGCTGGTAAATTGCAACATGACCTCTAGCTGAGGCCCACTAGGTTAGGTCTCTGGAGAAGACCCTTGACTGCGGTCTCCCCTACACCGGTCTCCCCTACACTGACTGCTCGTCAGGGACTGGAACAGCGATTACAACCAGGTGGCTCTTAGATCACCCTATTGGTGGAGGTAATCTGTAAGTCTGACACTTCTTGTCATGAGTTCCTCTAGTTTTACCTGTAAGAAGATGGAGAGTTTGGTGATTTTAAAGGACAATTTTAGCTAAGGAATTTAAAGACTCTTGTTGAACTTTTTAAAATTAATTAATTAATTAATTAACTTATTTGGTACAGGGTCTTGCTACACAGTCTCTCCAGTCTTCTCAGCTCAGAGCTGCTGGATGGAAACTGTACGCATTCTCCCCTAAACACAGTTAGGGATGCCTCTTCAGAGGGAGCAGTATTACAGATAGCTAAACTAGGTGGAAATATAGTGGGCTGGTGTGGGAGGCCATTAACTGGTATCCATTTTATAACAGTGTCAGCCGTTTTCTTAAGTTTCTATTCCCCTGCTGAGTTAAGTTTATGGTCCTTCTCACCTTGCCCATTCCCCGTGAATCATGTGCTATGCCGCAGGGGTTGCACCTTCCCCCATTGCCTAGATACCTGCTGACCCCCAAGAGCTGAGACTTTCTCATTCCTACACCCCCTATATATACCCAGCACCTCCCCTGAATAAATGGGACTTGATCAGAATCCTGTCTTGTCCTCATTCTTTGCATCTCCTGTCCTTTCTCCCCTCAATTCCCCGCTCCTCCCCCAGGTGACCTTCGTTGACTGACCCACTGGTTCGGGACAGGCTGGTCCCTTGGAGGCAGTGGAGAAGACGGGAACACATCAAGACTGTGACTGAAGGTGCAACTGAAGATAAGAATCAAGGTAGCCAAATTTGCAGATTTCCCATTATCTTATTAGGGGTAGGCTGTCCTCTCCCATCAAGACTAATGACAATACTACAAATTATGAACCAAGGTTATGAGGTCACCCATGGTTGAAGAGATAGCTCGGTGGTCTAACTGGCTGCCTGGCAAGCACAAGGACCTGGGCTCAATCACTGGCACTGCATGCCGAGCTGGCCACTGAAGATAGGGCATGGTGGCACACACCTGTGATCCCAGAGCTTGGTAGGCTGAAAACAGGAGGATTACTACAAGTCTGAGCTGCATAGTGACACCCTCTATCAAATAAATAAAAAGAAAAAAATAAAGGTCACCCATATGCCCTTCCTACCACTGGATCATTATTACCTCAGCGACTAGACTTGCAAGCTTATTGGTTGATCATAATTTTGACTGACATCATATCTGCTTTGGGGTTTTGCTCTATAAAGCTTCCTTGAGTAGTGGGCTCACTTTAACCCATTCAGTACTCCTCCAGTCTCTCAGGAACTATTCCTATTCCCTAGTCCTTTTCTCCAACAAATTTTCCTGTTCTTAAAAAAAAAAAAAAAAAAAGACACAAAGAAATTTAGCTTAGCATCCAAACAAAGCCAGGCAGGACAAACTCAGATTCCACAGAAATTAGATTTTGTAAAGGCCATGGCATGTGTGATAGTCTCTGAGGCAGAAGGTCAGTGAGGCCTTGCAGCCTGAGGGACTCTGCAGCCCTGGCTGGAAGTTGTGTTCACCGGAAGTCGCTTGGAACTTACCAGGGGCCTGCTCTTTTCGCTGAGTGATGCTGGCTTCTGGAGTCTAAATCTGTTTGTACCATTCTCGTAGGCTTTCGAATGCTGGGAGAAGAAAATTTAATTAAAGCCATTACTGGATCATCAGCGGAAATCAAGCCCAGCTCTTCTTAGCAAGGATAGATGAGATCACCACCAGAAAGCTACTAAGAGAAAAACAATGAATAATTAACATAAAATGGCAGGCTAATCAGCTGAATCCCTAGGCTTGAGACCCTCTGTAATGGAATGAAAATATAATGTCCCTCCTTGAAGAACAGACCAAGACTAAGGGAGAAACAGAAAAATGCCAGTGAGGGCGATTTAGGCTTCCTTAATAGCCTTGACCTGTTTTTAGGATAGAAAAGGCCTTAGAAAGACCACAGGGCAGGTCTTCCTTTACAATTTGGGACAGGGCCTAGTAGCACTCCAGCTTAGCTCATCTGACTTAGGGCCGATCTGCAGGTGGGTTGGGGTAGGCTCCATCCAATACCATCTCTGTCACCACGTCAAAAGATGAAATGAGGGAATTTCCTGGGCACTAACACAAGGGTGTCATTTCCCATCTGTTATTTCTTTTCTTTCTTTTAAATATTTTATTTGGGGGTTGGGGAGATGGTTCAGTGGAATAAGCGCTTCCCTAGCAAGTGCAAGGGTCTGAGTTCAATCCCTGGTTCCATAAAAAAAAAAAAAAAAAAAATTATTTGGTACAGGGTCTTGCTGTGCAGCTTGGACTCACAGTGAGTGATCTTCCTGTCTCAGCCTCACTACCTGGTTTTGGGGCTGGCATGGCATGCAGTACTGGGGACTGAACTCTGGTCTTTGTGCTTGCCAGACAAGAGACTGCTAAGCTATCTTCTCAGCCCCTCATCTGTTATTTCTAAAGGTTCTGTGGGTGCAGAGACCTCTTGGATGACAATGGTATAAAAAATTTTTAAAGTTCTGTGGTAAAATTTCATTATTCTTTGTTTATGAAATAGTTGAGGTGAACCTCCTTTAAAATAGGGAATTCTATACTCAAAAGGATGTTTATTTTCTCGTCTGAATCCTACTAAAACAATTTCTATAGCAATCTGGAAATTGTTTCTATAGCAAACTTCCAGCACTGGTTCTGGATTGATTTTGAAGAGGGGGAACCAGCCTGGCCAGCCACACCAGATCCCTGAGTGAAGGGCCACACCACATCTGGAAGATGGACACAGGGCAAGGGGGGCGGAGTGCGTTTACTCAGCTCTGTCATGTTCTCAGGTGGACCCATGTGCTACATCCAGAGGTCATCTCCCTTCAATTGCTATCCGGAGGTTAAGGAAAAACTACTATTGCATGACCTGAAAATATAAATCTGTATCTTGAAAAAAAATTGTGTCCTGTGCTTACAAGAACCTGGTGTCTAGGGGTGAGCTGCCTAGGCTCACAGCAAAGCACTGTTGGGGTGTCCCCGATGCCAGAATGTTCACAGAGGCAGCTCCAGACACTGATCCAATTGCTTGGGCTGCATTGTCTTGGGCATGAGAGCTGTGTTCTGGGTCCCAGCAGATGGGCAGGGCCTGTGGCCATACCATGTCACATAGGGCTGCTGCCTCCAGACTTCAGGAGACAGGAGAGAAACACTTTTTACCTTGCTTTAGCCACAGATAGCCCTGGGGTTTTCCTACTGTTTGCAACTGAGCATGTTTCCAACTAACAGAGAGATGAAAAGCACCACACTTTGCACTGGCGTGGTGGCCATAATTGCTGCTACTCCAGTGGCTTAGGCAGGAGGATCCCAAGTTGGAGAGTAGTCTGGGCAATTTAGCCTCAATAATAAATCCGTAATGACAAATAAGTAAAGATAAGATAAAGAAGGGTGGGGATATAGTTCAGTGGTAGAGTGCTTGCTTATCATGTACAAGGTCCTTGGTTTGATCCCTAGTACCATAAAAAACAAAAACACATTAAATTTTCCAAAACCTTAATATGAGATTTTGAACCAAATACAGTCCTAATTGAAAGATACTGTAAGCCTAAACCCAGGTAACACAGAGATCAAAGAAAGCCGGAAGCACAAATCCTGGCAGCCTTTCTGTGGGCATCCTCGCAGAGAGCCAAGTTTGAAACACTGGATGCTGTTTCTTACTTCTTAATTGTGGCTCATTTGAGACAAGTGCTACCTGGGAAAATCAGTTCTGCACTGAGGCTTCCAGTTCACAGCAGCGCTGGGCAGAGGTGCAGGCCCACACCCCAGGACTCAGCCAGCAAATCCGTAAGGTGAGACTCATGCCCACTTTTCTCAATGAAGATGATTTAATGGAGAAAAGCAGCAAACAGCACAGAATAAACAGGGGGACCTATTCGTCAGAAGAGGCTTCTGGACATACTGACCAAAGGCAAGGGGCAGCCCACCTGGGTTCCATTTACACACAGTGAACAACTGAGAGCAGCTGGACAGACACAGGAGGGCTGCAGATGGACACTACAGACAGGACAGCATTGCTGACACCGTCTACGCGGCGCCTTCCAGAGCAGTCCTGGGCCTCGGGTGCCTGCCTGCACCGCTGACCTGTCTTCTATCTGCACGTTACCCATGCCGGTGGAACTGTACAACCTGTGACCTTCTGTGACCAGCTTCTCCTATCTGTGTGGCTTCCAGGTTCACACGGTGCTTACCAGTGTTCCACTCTTTTCAATGTCACAGATGCTCTGTGGCACGGTACACTGTACTTGATCTGCCTGTGTGTCAGTGGATAGTTACGTGGTTCCAGGTTTGGGCTACTACTAATCCTGCTACCAGCTTGTGTAGGCACGGATTTCCGCCAGGTAGATTCCTAGGGTGGACCTACTACACTGAAGCGTAGCTCTACGCACATGCTTCTTCTGAGGAACTGCCAGCCTGTGCTCCCAGCACAGTCTGAGTTCTGGCTCCTCCTCATCCTCTCCACACACATTCTCTGCCTCTGATCCCAGCCATCCTGCTGGGTATGAAGTGGGTCTCACTGTGGCTCTGGTTCTATTTTTCTGGTGGCCAGTGGTGCTGACCACCTGCTTCTTGAGCACCTCATACCTTCCCAGCAGGGATGACTGTCTGGATCCTCTGGCCTTTTTTTTTTTTTTTTTTTTTTTTTTTTTGTCTACAGGTTGTTCATTCAGGGTCTCACTACTAGATCCCATTCGTAGTGATCCACGTGTTTACAGCCTCCCAAGAGCTGAGATTACAGCTACCATGCTCAGTCTCAAAGTCTCAGCGTGCCCTGGGGGCAGCGCCGGCACAGCAGACTTGGGGATCCCCCCACCCCTGCTTGCAGGCACTTTAATCCCCTGAGCTATTTGGCTGGCTCTCTCTCTGGTCATTTTTAAAGTGGTTGTGTTTTTACAACCGAGTGTCAAGAGCTCTTTAAGTATGTGAGTGTCTGACTTGATTTATACATGTATCCCCCATTCTGAGCTGCTTTTTCATTGTCTTTATGCAACACAAAGTTTTAAATTCTGAGGAAGTACAGCTGGTCCCTGCCTCTCCTACCCCGATGTTTTGGGGATGATCTGGGCACTGCCCAAGGCTTCCAGTGAGCTAGGAAGAGGGTGGAGACCTAATCTCAAGACCATGCGCAAAGGATCAGATAAAGTCATTGAGGCAGGGCCCCATGACAAGCCTAGAGGCCTCATCAGAACAGAGACCAGGAAACAGGCACACAGACACCTGTGGCCTCCTATGCTGTCTGCCTCCCAAGGCTACAGGCAGGCAGCCCCTTGAGTGTGGCCCTTGACCTTGGTATTCCAGAACCAGGAACCTAAGTAAACATCTTTTCTCAAAACTGCCTGGCTGTGGTGCTGTGACACTCATACCACAGAGTGACTGACGCACAGCGTGTGCCCTGGTGCCACACCTGCCAATGCTCTGCTGACCGGGAGGCCCACACCAGGGTTTCTAAAAGCTCACGGATAGGAGTCTAGTCCATCCCAGCTCTGGAGTGAGATGTGTTTGGTGCCCGGTGCCCCAGGCTCACTACACACTGCCAAGACCATCCTTGCCTAGGCCTGCAGGAGCTGGGCTCCACCTGGGCCTTGCGGTGCCAGCCACTGCTCTGCACATGGCCCCAGTGAAATTTGGGTGCTTGAGTCCCCCAGCTTTGTTCCTTTTCAAGATTGTTCTGGATATCCGGGAACTATGCTATTATTTTTACCTTTTGTTTCTAAGTTTCTCTAACAAAAACTTTAGTCTTGGAAAAGTCAGGTCTTTTTTCTAAAATATCACACTTTTAAACAGGAACTTCCTGGAATATGGCTTGCTTAAAGCAAATCACAACACCTGACACTCCTCTCTCATGCATTTGAAGATCCAGGGAGGAGACAAAGGAACAACAGCAGGCGGGAATGTGATAGGAGGTTACACAGGATGGGGGCCAGGTTGGTGTACACCTATAATCCCAGCACACTGGGTAACTGAGGCAAGAGGATCATAAATTCAAGACCAGTCTAGGTAACTTAGGAACTTAGATCTTGCAAGGCTGGGGCCATAGCTCAGTGTAAAGGCCCTGGGTTCAAGCCCCATTGCAAGGATAAAAAAAGAGAAGGTAGACAAGGTGGGTACTATTCTCATGAGAGACTAAACTCTGCCTGGCTGGCATGTGGGTGGCTCCCTGGAGACAGAGGAGCTGGGCGGGATCTCAGTGAAGGGCACAGAGAGGAGAAGAGAGCAGAGGCTTCAGCCCCAGGTCCAGGACACCAGGTGTCCAGGCCAACTGTCCACCCCATAGCTGGGAAGAAGCCATAGCCCAAGGTCCCTCCCATTTGCCTAGGCAATGCCCATGCCAGTACTTGACTTGCCCAGAGGTGCCCTGCCAGGGGACTAATGCTCCAGGCAGGAGGTCTGAGAGCCCAGTACCACTGGCTGTGTGGTCCTAAGTGGCCAATGTCAGCATCTCTGAGTGTGATGCCCATGGCCTGGCAGGAAGACACAATGGGTATTTTCAAATAGCTACTGTAGTTTTTTTAAAAAAAATAAATTCATGCCATTATAGTATCTTCCAGAATGTAGTTGTTTTCAGAACTTTCTAATTTGTTACTTAATGAAGTGCCCAAACCTTCTTTTCAAATGAATCAGACTCAGAAGCCCTCTCAATGTACTAGGCAACGGGCAGGCTGGTTGTGGCGCCCTCTCTCTCTTTCACGCATGTGCACAGTGTAGAGCTAGCCTTCCCCAGCCACCCACCCATGTAGGGCTTACATTTGGTGAGGGGAAGGGCAATAAGGGGTAAAGAGGATTTTATACTGAGTGTCCTCAGACAAGATTGTGACAGGGAGTTGGTGAGATGATATGAGGGGTCCACTCCACATACCCTATGGCCTGCGCTGAGAGCAGGACAACGGGAGCCAGCAGAGTGGGCTTGGGCTGAGGGGAGGAGCCAGGTGACCCCAGTTTGTCTGCTGGGTGTGGACAGTCCTTGACCACAACATGGGACACTAGGGGATGGTAGGCGTATGGGTAACAGCCAGATTTGCTCCAGTCAGGCTTGGTCTGAGAATATCATGGGTATCTCCAGAGAAGGGCTAGCGAGCTGCGGGCCAAAGGACCAGGCTGGAGACCCCAATGTCACACATGTGGGGGTGGTATGTGCTATGGGCTGGGCACGTGCTCCTGTGTGAGGACAAATGAGGACAGAGAGCCTGGGGATCTGTAGAAGGCATCCCGAGAAGCAGTCCACATGGGACCAGCGTGTTCCCATACCCACAGGGGAGGCAGTGAGGGGGTGAACAGTGTCCACTGTGGGCCCTGGCAGAGGATGAGAGAACAAGGAGAGGAGGAGCCTCGCGGGGCAGGAGTCTCCAGGGCAGGATGGGGCAAGAGGGCCTTTCTTCTTGGATGGTGGTCAGCACTGTACACTGTGTGACCCTGTGTGCTTGGAGGTGGAGGGTACGGATGGAACTGCAGGAGTCTGAGCCTGCCCTCAGGGAGGGAGCAGGTGCCCAGGGCCTGGCTGAGGGCTGCAGTGCTGGGATAGCCGAGGTACAGCAGGAAATGGACAGTGTGCAGCTTAATGGATGCAAGATCCACCTGAGAAGCATGGCCACCAATTGAAGGTGACACTGGCCAGCTCGCCTGGCACTTTCCTCCATTGCACCAAGGCCTGGGGAAAGCCAGGCAGTCCCCTCGCCTGGAGGTACTGCCAGCCCTGGCTCTGGCTCCTTGGAGGACCAGGCTGCAGTGGGCCTCTTGCCCAGCCTCTGGGAAGCAGGGAACTGCCAGCCCTCCCTAGACAGCATAGCTGCACAAAGGACCAGGCTGCAGGGTGCCAGGCCCAGAGCACCATGCTTTGCGGATGCGAAGAATGGGAGCAAGCCTTACCGTGCTCAGGGTGGAGGTGCAGTGGATGTCCTTGGGATCTAAAAGAGCAAACAGGAAAGCGGCTGAGTGCGGGCCCTGTAGCACCCGAGCCTGAGACCTGTGCCCACCGAGGGAGGAGTCCTGTGAAGGCTTGGCTGTGCTTCCCACAGAAATGAACCTGGGAGCTCTGTGGCCTACTGGCTGTGTCAATCTGCCTCCCTGCAGTAACCTTTTCTGTCCCTGTGTGCAGCCCCAAACATCGTTCTGTATACCTTGAATACACATAAGCAAATGAACAAGATGTCACCTTCTGTTTTTGCTAAACAAGGACAGGGGTAAGAAAAGAGACTTAGAAGTTGCAGATGAGTGGCCTGTGCCACAGCACAGCCCCTAACTTGCCTTCCCATTCTCCTTAACCCTGGTGTGGAAGAAGGCCATGGCCAGTAGCTGCCACCAAATGCCAGACACCACAGGATGGCAAGTAAATGGATGCACAGCTCCAGTATCGGGACACGAATCAGGGCCACAGTCGTAAGGGATTGTAGAATTCATTAGAAATAGAAATGGGTGCAGACATGATGTTTCTCTTGATGGAAGGCTACGTGGAAGGAGAGAGAGGAAGCAGGGCTCTGTCCTGTGAAGCTCAGGTATCTGCTTGGGTCCATTTGCCATACTATCACGGACATCTCCGCTACCAAAGAACAAGATGCCAGGTGGTATGTGCGGTGTGTGTCCGGCACCCTCTCTCAGCTCCCACCCACAGGCGTTCTCTGTTCACACCCCCACGTGTGACTGCCAGCCCCACCCTGGATATTTGCTTCCTTCTCACCCACATTGGAGGCCGCCCAAGAGCTGCATAGCCCTGGCTTGGCTAGATGGAGGTTATTTTTAAAATTCAAAGGTTGGCTTCAGCGATAAGAAAGAATTGAGACACAAAATGGAGTATGTATTCTTTCTAAAATGATGGGTGCTGAGGGCAAGTTACTATGTGTGCCAGGATGGGCCGTGGAAACTGCCCCTGCGCGTGACTGAGCACCTGCCCCTGGAGTTCTCCTGGGACCTTTCTGTGCCCGGAGCCAGATGAAGGAACTGAATGCCAAGTGGACGTTATCAGAATGGCTCATGGGATCAGAATTTTCCACCACAGCATAGCTATGCAAATCTTGTGCTGTCGGATCTCTACTTTAAAAATTATTTTCAAAATCTATGCAATGAAGTGTGATACTGACTCTGGAATGAAAGGAAGAATTTAACTTTCTGGTAGCTCTTTGCTTAGTGAAGACCTATGGCCTTATGTTACATGGTATTTGACAATGCTGTCTGAGATGCAGCGGATCGGGGACATACATGCTGGCAGCGGTACTTGGGCCGGGAAGGAAGTGGGGAGCAGGGGCAGCCACACTGGCTGGGCAGGGACACTGGGGAAGCTGAGACAGACTCTAGGCCCCCAAGCTAGATATATAGGACAGGGCAGGAAGCAGAGAGAGAAGGAAGAACCTCAACACTGGTCAGCGCAGTGAGCAGGAGACAGCAATCCGGCCCGAGCAGGAGAACCAGCCACCTGGGGAGTCTGCGTGGGCCTTGCCCAGCACCCTGCCCTCTTGGCAGGCAGAAGCTGAATTTGCGATCACTAGGGCATCTCCCAGCCATGAGGACTTACGTTCAATGAGGAAGAGAAAGCACACCATCCCCATGGTGGCCATGATAGCTCCAGGAACAACAAAGGACAGGCCCCAGCACGTGGACACCCAGTAGCCGGCTATCAAGGAGCCCAGGATGTTGCCTACAGAGGTGTGGGAGTTCCACACCCCCATAATCAGACCCCGCCTGCAACACAAGCAAACACAATACCCGATGTGGATGTGGTGGAGGGCTGGGATGAGTCCCCACCCACAAGAGCACAGCCACACATTCCATTTTTCCCTTGAAGCTTTATTTTATAATTAAAAAGGGAAAAGAGGCCTTTTCCTTAATTTCTTGTAAGGTCCAAAATGTAAAGGGTGCTTCCAGAAGCTACAGTGTGAACTACAGTGTGAACAAGAGCTGGAGTAGGTGCCCCACCCGTGAAAGAGGCAGTTTCAAAATTAGGCTCTGGGGCTGTTTCTGTCTGAGCCTCCCTGCCCTGTGGGGTGACTTCCGAGTAACCTCACCCGAGGCCCCAGGGCTGTGCCTCCTTACAGACATGCCCAGACATGCTGCTCCTGAACTGGGTGACCCTGGTGACCTGGTCAGGGCCAGAAGGCTCCTAGCCCAAGGTGGAGACTTGGCCTTAGAGGGCTGCAGACCTGGACTCTGCCCCACCGTGCCCTCCACCCATGCAGGTGCACAGCCCCGTCAGGGCTTTAGGACCTGCAGCTTGGAGTCCTCAGCCCCTTGCTGGACAGAAGAGGCGAGGGAAAGAGGCTTTCCGGCTTTCATTGGAATCTTTCAAACTATAAATGCTGCTGGAAAGCGCCTGCTCCTCACCTTCCTTTCCCAAACCAGTTGCTGAGGCAGGTGACAACGCTGGGCCAGCCGGTGGTCTGTACCAGTCCATTGATGACCTAAGGGTGAGAGGACAGAGGAGAAGGCTCACCCTGGGCCTGGAGCAAGCACCTGGCTGTGGTGGCATGTGCCTGTCACCTCAGCACTCGGGGAGGCTGAGGAAGGAAGATCACAAACTTAAGCCCAGCTTGGGCATTTTACAACTTAGGGAGACCCTGTCTCAAAATAAAATATGCACAAGGGGATGGGGATGGAGCTCAGTGCGAAGGCCTTTGGTACGATCCATAGTACTGTAAAAGGAGGGCAGGGATGGGGAGGGAGTCTCGATAACCTGTAGAGCTGTCAGCAGCAGCTCTTTCTGAAGATAGATCCAGGGGTGCCACCACGCCCAGCTTCCAGCCTTTTTTTTTTTTTTTTTCTCTGAATGCCTTCAGGGCAGGTTTGTTCCAGCCTTTTTGATTTTAAAAAATTTATGAGAACAGCAAACTTTTGTTCTTTTTATAGAGTAGTTTACAAATTGCACTATAAAACATGGCTTAGAATTGATTCATTTTTCCCAACCACACCATGAACGTTGTTACTTCTCTGAGGCAAACAGATCCTTGGCCCAGGAGGGAGAGCATTTCTGAGCATTTCTACACTTGGTGAGGGTACAGTGCTAAGCTCCCCACCTTGGGCTTCTCCAGGTGAGGGCTCACTGGACCACCTGGAGCACTGGAAACAAGCCCCATGGTCCCCCTCGTACAAGTGCAAACCACTTCTGCAGTTACACAGCCAAGCTTTTTCAAGTGACAGGACAAAATCTTGAGAAGCAAAATTAAAGCAATCTGTTCTGATGATCTGATGACACCCCTCAGGCTGTTTGCACAGGCTGGGAAACACCACAAAACCAGCCGGGCATTGTTGCTTTCCTTGCTGGTCAATATTTATCCACACGACAGCTGGGAGGACAGAAGCCAAGAGACACGGCCTCCTGCTATCTTCAGGCCTCTCCTCCTCACACTTCCAGGGTCTCTCCTTTCCAAGCATTCGCAAGCCCCTACCCTGCTGCCTCGGAATAACAAACAGGATTTCTTAGGCACCGCTCCTCAAGCTGGAAACTCCTAGCTGACAGGAGTTTCGCAGCAGAAGGCAGGGACTTCCTGTGCCAGCCGGTCTTGCCTGTTTTCCTTACTCTGGCACCTGCTGAGACAACAGGCTCTATGAAGGAAGCATCCCATCCTGTTCATCTTGGAAACCCTGGACCTAACCCTGGAGCAGCCACAGGTTTCTTACCTGAGTGACCACGTAGAATCCCAAACTGTGGATATCATAGAAATACCCCAGCCCGAACAGGGCAGTGAAGGCTCCACTGGCAAGCATCCCGAAAGTCAGGTAGTACCGGATGGGCAGGCGCTCCCCTATTATGCCACTGGGGACGGGAAGGAAAGACAAACAGGAGAGAAACACACCCCTAAAGTAAATGGCCAGCTGCTGCTCCCCAGCTGCACCCACACTGTCCCCAAAGCTCCTAGAACTGAGGGGCGTGCCAGTTCCTGGAGGACCAGGCACAGCTGTGCCCTGCACGTGCCCCGCACCTACAGGGGCACAGCAATACCCAGAAGGCTTCCTGTTTCTAGACAAATTCACTAACTACCACACAGTAAAGCACACACTCTATGACGCGAATGTGACTGCTGTTGGTTACAGAAAACAGCACTGGTCCTGCTAGACTTGATCTAGACAATAACCAGTCAACATAGCCAGTTGACATTTTAACTGTCAAATTAGGGACTGAAGTCACTAAAAGTGGCCACCAAGCACTCACTCCTGAGTCGTACCTAAGCCACCTGCATGGAAATGCCTGGCTGGATGGTCCCATGAGGAAATGACACTCAGCTGTCCTGTACACACTTTGGCCTGTTTGTGTGACAAAGTAGTCTTTGTCCTATAAGGTGAGGTCAGAAGACCTGGGTAGAATCTCAGTGGTCCCTTAAGCCCAGCGCTTTTGGGTTTCATCTGTAGAGCTGTCTGGGCTCCAGTGAGATTGACACAGTTGTCTGCTTGTCACCTGGCTACCGAAAGCCATGATGGGGGTGGCCAATGTGGCAAGGGCCCATTGTCATAGGAGGCCAGATGCTAAAAGGGTGGTGACCACTGTCACCCCACACAAGGACTACACAAAGCACTCTGTATTGTTCTGGGGGAAGGTCACTAACAGGTCACAGTTGTGGTGTAAGTGAAGAAAAGGTGCAGGAAAACAAGGGGACACTAACACTTGCATTGCCTTGCACATCATCACATGGGGGTTCTGAGCCCAGGGCCAGATCTACACCCTGCTGCTGGCAGTACTCTGGGTTGAGCTAGCTTCAATGTTGCAGTCCTTTTTTTTTTTTTTTTTTTTTTT